GTCTAGGACCAAAAATGTCTTTTACTCTAATAATATTTATAACACTCCCCATTGGCCATTATCAAACTATACTCATGCCTCGTTAAAAATTTCGCTAGAAAAACCCAGTGGGAAAAACATAGACGAGGAAAAAAGTACACGAAGTATGCTAAACTATTGTGCTGCACCAGTTGCCTCATTAAAAACCTTAGCCTAAGAAAACCCAATGGGAAAAAACTTAGCTAAGGAAAAAGAGTACAACCATAAGCCTTCCGGGCATAATCTTCAAGATTTCAAGAGTCTTCAGGACCACCCATTCAAGTGGACCTATATCGATTGCCTCATTAAAAAGTTTAGTCTAAGAAAATCCTATGGGAAAAAAACTTAACGAAGTAAAAAAGAGTACAACCATATGCTTTCGGAGCATAATCTTTAGGATTTTAAAAGTCTTCTAGATTGTCCATTCTAGTGCAGCTAGGGGTTGTCGCTCCCCCTGAAGATAGCAATCTTCTAAGCCTACGCATCCCAATTTTATGAACATATTACTTATAAGTGGATGTAGACAGAGACTTGGTGAACATATCTGCAAGATTGTTCACTGGGGCAAACTTTCTCAACAAGAATTTTACCACTCTTCTGGAGTTCATGTGTGTAGAAGGACTTAGGTGCAATATGTTTTGTAAGGTTCCCCTTAACAAACCTATTACTTACTTGTGAAACACAATCTTATTTGTCCTCATATGGGACATTGGGTAAAAATATAACATAACCAGTTTGGGACTTGACATTATAGGGATCAAATAAAAGAGCCAGTACCCAAGTAGCCCATCAAAACCACATATTGGTTTCTCACATAAACGTCATAATATTTGTACCTCGAAGGTGCTGGAGGATATGTACATACCATTCCAATTTTCATTGTAGGGGAAACACTAAATGTTGCTAGCAATTTCATCGCAAATTCAATATCAGGCCTGATGCGATTATGGAACTTCTAGTTCAATAATAGTGATCCAATAGCAATGAAGTAATGGACTTCCAGTCCCAAAATATCTTCATTATCATCTTCGAGTCTAAATGGTCCTTTATCTACTTCAAGAGATTATTTGACAACCGTTAGTGTGATAAGTAAAAGATACTTATCCATATAAAATATCTTCAAGACATTTTTCAAGTAGGTTAACTGGTGCATAAAACTTCTTCAAGTAGTAGCTCGATCTTCAAGTCGAGATAATAGTTGGGTTTCCCAAGTCTTTTATTTCAAAACTCAGTCTTTCGGCATGAGCTAATATCACCAAGCTCTTTATGTGTTTCAATAACATTTAAACCATCAATATTGACTGAGACAATAAATGAATAACTCCATTAGCAATTATTTAACGAACACTTAATGTTATATATTATTTGCATATTCCTTCTTCTGGAGGAAAACGCTCAGTCAATAATATTCAAGTCATAGAAAGACTTTAGTAGTGTAATGATACACGTTGCGATTTTCACTTTCCTCATTTCAAAAGTGTTGAATCCATCGGGGATTTACAAATAAATATTAGCATCTAATGACCCATAAGTTTGCGGTCATGACGTTCATCAATTGCATATCTAAATTTATAATTAGTGCGAATGATGTTAATTAGCGGAAACTAATGACATCTGTTGTGGGAGAGAACATTTGACCAAAATCAATTCAGGGTCTCTGCGTAAACCCCTATGCTACCAGTCTTGCTTTATATCATACCACCATATTATTTGTATTTCTCTTTTGTACAAACACTCATTTGTAACCTACAGGATTAACATTGAATGGTGTACATGTTATAGAGAGAATACAGTTTAGCGAGTTGAGCTGTATATGTCTTAATTGCTCCTTTATACATAAAAGTTAAGTCACTACAGGTCCCTATCTCTGGATCTAGAATATCATATAACGAGAGCAATTTGTAAAGGCAATTCTATTGTCGACAACTATAACAACTTTCATAAATTTCTCCCATATATATATAAAATTCATGGCAGTTTCTAATTCAACCAGACTCTAGCCATTTCCCAAATATATTTTTATCTGGTTGTTCCGCATCCCCAGTATTATGATTTTGGGTGCACCTATAATTTTACTAGGGTTTTTCGCCTTCGGGACGAATATCTTCAAGACATACTTCTTTAAGCGATTTCAAGAGTGACAAAATTTTCTACTAGATTTAGCTCTCCGCGGGTTCTTGTCTTTTATACCAACATGTCTCCACGCTTCTGGCATCTAGGAGCATTGGTAGATATATACGGTCCAAGTTGGGGAAGATATATGAGACCTAGTCACTCTTTTTATGATCAATATATATATTGGCAGATTAATTATCTTCTGAACTTCCGGTTCAGTTTACTTCATTTGAACTTCTAGTTCAGTCTACCTAGTACGTGGATTTAAATATTGGAGATCTTTTTCATCAATCATCCAAAGAATTTCTCGGCATTTTATTCAATTTGAGCTCGTATCTGCCCCTAATGTCGTGAAATGATCTTCATCAAATGTGCAATTAGCGTACAAAATTATACATTGATCACCTATCATGGGCTCTAGGTATTTAAACAACAGACGGGGGTTTTGATAACCCTTGGAGGTACGCAATGGTGGTAATATAGAAAAAAATTGCACACTGTGAATAAAACGTAGATAGGAAATGTTTGAATTTATACTACGTAATAGGTGTTAGGGGGAATAACTATGATATGCAGTATGTTAGATTTGGACAAAAAAACAAAATTATACAAAATTGATTATCCCCAATGAGAAAACATCTTTCATACATGCCTCATAAAATATGCATTTGAATAAAGGAGGCTACATTGCGATAGATATAAATCAAACTCACTAAAAACAATTTGCCCAGGGCAACCCACTAGCGCATGCCATACTATAAAATAATATGGGTCTTTAAATCCTTTTAAAATGTATGGCAACATATGAAGTACCCAAAACATATATGCAATCATCTAAGATCAGAGTGACATATATTATCATATATGAAATCATATATATCAAACGACATTATAAGGGTACACAATAATCATAAGGAAGATGGGAAGGTTAACAAATAAAAATAGATCTTCAAGATCTCCCAAAAATATTATCCTCATCTTTTCAAAAAGTAAAATTATTAGCTTCGTGCAAATTGATTTGACATGATATAATTCACTCCCTCATTTGCTTCAGGCAAACTGATATGATATAACTCATTCCCTCGTTTGCTTCGGGCAAACCGATATGATATCATTTGCTTCTATCTTTCAAACTAATAACATCTAAATCAATCATATCATGTATGGCATAAGTCAAGGATCATTCTTATAAAGTGGTATATCACTCCTTAAATAACACAGAATTGCACTAAGCTATATACGGAGAGGGATTCGTCATTTTGACATCTTAAATTTTGTCAAAAGAGGATTATCATACTTTGCCGATAATAACAATCCTTCCGGGATTGATATAGGATTTATGAAACAAATAATAATTCAATTTTGAATTAGCAACTAGTCAATTGCATACGAGAGTCATGATTGCATGCATGAGAAAAATTTCCATAAATAAGTATGCAAACTAAGAGAAGTAACTTCGAGAAGTAAACTTCCTCTGGAAAATAAAGTCCAGGAAGTAAACATCATTCGAAAAGTAAAATTTCAAGAAGTAAGATTAGAAAGTTAAGCTTAGAGGGGTAAGCTTAGAGAAGTAAACTTTCCGAATAGTCAATTCGAGTAGTAAAATTAGCAAGAAAAATCAGCAAAGTAAAATCACTTAGCACTCATAATAATTTGCATCTAAAAATAACTTTGCGCTGAAAACACTTTGGAGCATATATACTTCTCGGCCATGCAATAAATATTGCGGCCATGAATTAACTCTTCGGGTGCTTAGACATAAACTAACTTCTCGGATGCTTCAAGCTTGAGCTAACTTCTCGGATGCTTCATGCTTCAGGGATGAGCTAACCTTTTCGGCCATGAATATATTTTCATGCATCGTTCAAAATATTATCATGACACCAATCTTTTCTCCTCATCATTTCATTATCATCATCATCATTTATCGCAATATTTGTTTCAGGTAAATTAGCTAGAATCATCAAGATGAGACTCATTCTTAGACGACCAAATGCTTTGGTATGCGACACGTAGGGACCAATGCCCTTCACACCCACATTGATACCAAACCTACTTCTAGCTAGAATTTTGTCTCGAAGAGTTCGGTCGCCCGTGATTATTTTGACCACTTTGCTTCTTATTTTTGAGCTCGAAACTCATACCACCTCGGTTATAACTTCGACCGCAACCCCTTATAAAGTTGCTCAACTGGACAACATTATGTGCTTAACGCACCTGTGCAAAACCAACCAGACATGCATTTTGATTCTTCATCAACAACAAGTTATGTTTCTTAGCCACAAGGAGTGTTAAAATCAGCTTAGAATGCTTCTCATAATTTGTTGTCTTGTACTACTACTGGAGTACAAAATTACTCTCATGAAAAGTTGGCAAGGTCTTTTCAATTAAATATTTCTCTGAAAATTCTAGTTTAGAGTTTCACTTGCGAGACTATTTTGTTCATAGCCGAATTATAGTTAATCACTAACTTATAATCTTGAAACATGAGATTATGCTAGTCAACATGTGTCTGGGGAAGAACATTTGATGACTTCTGGTCAAAATAGTCCTTCAGGGACTTCCATTAATTCAAGGGGTCCTTTTTCAACTAGATACTCAATTTTAATATCGTGGTTCAAGTGGTGGCGTATGAAAATGAGAGCTTGTTCCTTCTAGGCATCGGTGCTCTATGACTTAGCAACAAAATGCTAATTGTACGTTTTTTGTAAATTTGAGGTTCTAATTGAAACTTTTTGAAGTTGAAGGACGTAATTGCAAAAATTAGTATAGTTTGAGGTCTTATTTGAACCTGACCTTACCCGTTAAAAAAAAAAAATACATTTCCAACAATCGTTCACAATTTGAGTTTATTTTGACTAAAAATACACCAATACAAAATTACACTAACAATATATTAATATTCGTAAAAATAAACCCTTTGGACACATTTGATGCTACATGCCAATATTGTCTAGAAATTTTAAGTGCACATAAAATCTCAAAGTTAATGTCCAAAGAATGATATGACAACTTTCAAGCCCACTTAGCCAAGAGTGACATGCACCCTGCACCCAAAAGAAGAGAAACATTAGCTCCCAATTGAAGCTTTCCATTGTTTTGCATCCTTGGGTTCATGAAATCTGCTGCCAGCAAGTCCACCAGAGCCATATAGATCAAGATCCCTGCTGATGCTGAGTTGAATATCCCCTCCACAATCAGAGCCGTTGGGCTATTCTCGTCATATACGTTTGTTATCCCTAACCCGATCGCGATTCCAATTGGCGTCGTGAGTGAGAAGAAGAACGCCATAATCGTCACTGCACGAGTTTTGAACTTTGCCTATAACGAAATAAAAAATAATAACGTTATTGCATTACTCATCTCATATCACCTCAGGGGCGGATTCTGGTTTTTTTTTTTTTTTTTTTTTTTTTTTTTAGTAGGAGTGCATAATTTACCAACTAATCTAATACATCTCTTGTATACATTTATCTGTTTTTTTTTTTTTTTAGTTATACTCTAAAATATGTATTATATATACATATATATTAACAAGGGCTATATATGGGATGGGGTAGGGCTGGGGAGGGAGGCAGTTGCCTCAACTGTAGCTCCTCCCTTGTATCACTTCTGAAAATCTACATTCCTAAGAATCAAACACAAACATATCTCATTTATATATATATATATATATATATATATATATATATATATATAAAATCTAGTTATCAAGTTAACTTTTAGTTGAGACAAAAATACGTCATTCAATTTGGTATTTGAACTAATCCCATGTAAGAAGTCATAGGTTTAGACTGTCGCGATTCTATAAAAAATATTTTATTTAACATGGAAGAATCGAGCGAAAAATCACAAAATTTTTTATATGTAAAATATGGGGAAAAATGTTATGATATTGTATTTAAAGTCATTGACTTATCATCAAATTATAAGATTTCTGACTATCAACTTTGATTTGATAAACTTCACAAATAGTATACTAAACTTAGAAAATCAAATTATAAGGATTATTTGGTTGACCTGACCGACAGACGCAGTTGTTGACTATATAATGCATGCCTATATGATAATGCACTTAGGCAATTCCTACTGGCGAATACAAGCCGATCTTTTTGGGTCAAATGTAACTGCTGGTCTGATTGACTGACCAGTTCGTCAGCAATAGCTTATAGATACTGGATGGCAACTAACTAACATCAAATCTTGAATACATATCTATTCACATGAAATGATATAGAAGATGAAAGGGAAGTTGTACTTTTTTTTTTTTTTTTAGTTATATATCTGTGGTACAGATTTAGGTCCTTTTTGGTATTATCAGCCAATTTTAGATTATTTGACCATTATTAATGGTTTGATTTGGTTAAACAATCAATATGAGTATTTGATTAATTAATTTTTTTTAACAGTTAATTGTTCCAAAATGTTAAAATTCAAAAAACTGTTTAAAGTAGCTTTTTTTTATCAACTTTTGGAGAGAGTCATTTTGTATGTAACCAGCTATCAGCTAACAGCTAATTTACCAAACATCTTTCTACAATCAGCTAATGCATGTTATCAACTAGTCAAACTCACTAACTCATTCAGCTATCAATTATTTACCAAACACCCCCTTAGTCTCTGAGTTATATGCGTGAGCATTTTAAACTCTTAAGTTATGCATAGAGGGGTGATTTTAGTCTTTGAAGGATGAGTCAACCACTTTATTAAGTGACAAGTTGGTGACATAAATAATTACCGAAGAACTAAAATCGTCATTTCGTGTGTAACTTAGGGGTTAAAAGATAGTCACACACATAACTCAGAAACTAAATTTGTATCATGGGTATAACTGAAAGACCAAAAATACAAATTCTAGTTCCATATGCATTTCGTATTTGTCTATTGCAAACCAGTGAAATAGTGTGATCTATACTAAAATAAAAATTTAGTGATAATTTTGATAAATATATAGAACTTTTGGTAGATCATTTAAGAGAAAAGAGCATCACTTTGAGTAATATTTGATTGAATTGCAAAAAAAGGAAGTATTAACTAATTCATTTTCGAATAATTAGTTTTAAACTAAGTGCTAGAAGACATTTTAATGCATTGCTCTTACCAACATAATCTAGTCAATACTAATTACTTTAATTGTCACTATTTTACTTGTCTAGCTTTCCCTAGCTATATATAGTATATATCCTATCGAAACTCTATTTTGTTTTACTATTCTAGATAAACAATAGGGATGGCAAGTTGGCAAAAGGACAAGGTAGGGTGTGGAGTATACTCCCCGTCCTATAATCCCTCATGCTCTTCGTCTTTGTTAAAATAAAAATTATTTTTCATTCTCATCCACCGAGAATTTTTAAAGACTAGAAATTTCTGCCACTATCAATCGTATAATCAAACTAAAAGTTTAGTATAATTTTTAATATTTAAGACAAAAATTAAATAATAAATATTAAAATTTTAGTTTAAACTACCAAATTCAAATATTAATTTAGTACTCAAAACCTTTAATTTTTCATAACTTCATCGATATATAAATTTTTATATAATTTTTAAAAAAATTAATGTGCCGAGAACAGGCAAGGCAAAGAAGGGAATCTCCATCCCTATTCTTATTCTTGTCCTCATTCACCGAATTTTCATACCCGTCCCTACTGGAGCTCGAATTGGGATCCCCACTAAGTATAGGGAGACATTCTCCGGATTAGAGAACCCCACTCAACAAAGATCGGAGTAGATTAAACCAAGTTTTCTTCTATCATATTTTTTAATCACCTATAAGAAAAATCTACAATATAATATTGATTAACAATAAACATTTTGCAATCATTATCATCATAGGATTTTGTTGAGTTTGTCTCATATAGAGATTAGGAATATATGAGTTTGTCTCATATAGAGATTAGGAATATATGAGTTTGTCTTATACTAAGAGGAGTAAAACGGGTAGACCTATTGTACCAGGATTAGATGCTTATATTGGTTGTATCCCTAAGGGTTTGTGTCACCACAATCACCATTACTATGAATAAGAGTATTGTTTCACTCCCGTAGATGTAGGCACGTTGCCGAACCACGTAAATCTTGTCTTGTTTACCTTTTTTTGCCATTATTATTATTTTCTTGTTCTTGTTAATCTCAACAGATTTGATATATGATTGTATCGAGTACGATATGCACCTAAAAATTAAATTAAGCTTTTTTTTAAAATAAAAAAAATATCCCATATGTATTATATGTGTATACCTGAGCAATGCAACCACCAAGTCCCATGCCTTCAAAGAATTGATGAAAAGTCAAAGCAGCAACCAAAGGCCTAATTGTTTTTGGACTTTCTGAAGCTCCCACAGCTATTCCAATTATGACAGAGTGAACTATGATCCCCAATTCCAATACCTGCATGCATGTAATACGCCAACGCACAATTAATATTATATATATATATATATATATATATATATATATATATATATATATATATATATATATATATAGCACATATTGAATTGGTCAACAAAAGTGTTACTTTCAATACAGACATTATGCACATTCCATTATGTGAGAGTGAGACATCTTTAATTGTTTTACCCAAACTGCCAAATTCCTTTTAAAAAAATATTTACAAATATTTTGAATTTTTCTTCCATTATATATATATAGAAAGACTTGAGTGTAACAACAGTTCATATGATCTATTTATGTCATAAAATGAAATAAAGAATCTTTTTTAACACATTATATATTTTTCTTCGTAACGACAAAAATACAATAAATTTTTTCATTTTAAGAAAGAGACATAAGAAAGAGATGCATGCATTAGAAAATTTTGTATATACAATAATACACATAAATACCTACATGAATATGAAGTATGTTCTTAAAGAAAAATACTACTATAAGCACTCTTATATTTTTACTTTCTAGTGACATGCATGTCACTAGAAAATAAAAAATATAAGAGTAGCTATAGTAGTATTTTTCTTGGAAAATATGACGCACTTGGAAAATTCATCTAGTAAAATATAAGTTATAATATCTTTTTTCTTTTAATTTCTCTTGGAATAAAATCAAAATCCATGTGGGTAACATAATTTTTGTCAAATTGTTGAGTTGATAATAATAGATTTACAAGTTCCACTTAGTAAGAGCTACTTAGTCTAGTGTACTTTCTCGCGTTCCATGTTAGTTAAGGTCACAAGACTAAATTTATTTAATTTATAACCTGAAATAATGGCTACGGATTTCTTTCCCAAAAAAAAAAAAAAAATGAACCAAGATCCCATATATGATTTTCATTGTTAATATAATCCCAGCTAGCTGTGATAAAGATGTCACGTACCTGGGAAATAACTCGATGTCTAAGAAGCTCCGACGAAGAATCGACCTCAGCAGAGGTCACGTGCGCATGCACGTGACCGTGGGCATGAACGTGAAGTGCAGCTTCTTCGTTCTCAACGGACGGAGTTCCGCCGTGGTTATCGTTGCTATTAATTTTTCCGGCGCCGGCGGCGGACTTTCTAGAAAAGTAGGAGGTGGCACACGTGTCAACCATCAGGGTGGCTATAGCCGCTACCATGGCGACGAATCCGCTGAACGGGAACTTCCCCCATGGGTTCTCTTTCAGGCACGGCGACGTCAAGCTCTCGAAGGCGTCCGGGAGCACGTGGATGAAACCGGTGGAGAGGATGACGCCGGCGGCGAACGCCTTGATTATGAAAAACAAATTTCTCTCCGGGCTGAGCGCCGGAATAGCGGATTTTCCGAGCACCGGAAAGGAAACGCCGACGGCGCTGGCAACTAGGATTGACGCTATGGCTACCAGCTTGTACTTGAGAGCTAAACTCTTATCCCTGTCTTCTTCCTCGGATTCGCAGGTGCATTCTCCTCGGACCATTGTCGGAAACAGAGTTAACAATACCAAACCAACTGAAGCAATGATCACAACATGATTCTCCACTTTGGTTCTTGTTTTCTTCATGGTTTCGTATGTAATTCAATGGTGTTTATGAATTTGCAAGGAGAAGGAAGAAAGACTACAGAAACCTGAATGAAGGGATTGAGTTCTATCAAAACAAGAGAAAAATGAGCTGCCAACAAGTTAATTGCCAGACTATATATATATATATATATATATATATATATATATATATATATATATATATACACACACATTTTTAAGTATACAGAATATTTTTTTTTTTAAATTATAAATGATATTCTAATGAGAATTAATAGTTGTGTTGTGTTAGAATTTTTAGCTAAAAATGGCATTTTGAGTGATTATTTTGTGGTACAAATATATGTGGGTCCACTTCCGATTTGGGTCGGGTTAAAGTGGATTCGGGTTTTTCGTGGTGAAACGAAGAGTTTGATATAATGTATGCTCAAAATGGATAATAGGTGAATGAGAAATTGATTCTCAAAGTGAACCTATTTGAGAGAAGTCGACAACTTAAACCTATTGTTTAGTGGCTAATTAAGATTAGCACTAATCTTGATGCTAATTACTTAGCATTCACGAAAGAATGCTTGTAATTAAGCTTTGGAAAAAGGTTAAGTTGCAATTAAGCTTTTGAAAGCTTGATTAGTGAATTGGGAAATGAACTTTCGTGCTATGCTTTGTGCATGGACGAAAGTTGTGCATGAATTGAGCTTAAGCTTTGGATTCCAAAGTAGCTCATTTCGTGCTGTGGATTCGGTGTGCACGAATCAAATGCTATATGCATTGATTCGTGCTGCACCGTTTCGGTGCTTGCGGACCACTCGGGTGTGGTTTCCGGTCCCAATTCGTCAAACCTTCGGGTTTGTACGGACTTCTCGGTCACTCAGATATTTTGAAACAAGTCGTTGTGATCGGTACGAATTAATCGCGTATTAAGTTCGTGACCGTTGGAATTATTACGATAATAATTACGACCGTTTCAAACGTTATTATCCAATTATTAAATCTTGGATTTATGTTGGTTAATGGCCATTATAATGCTACTTAATTCCTCTTTCCCTACAAATAGTTTGTTATGTTGGCATAATGTTTTTACACCATTTTTTTTAAACTCAAAAAACCATTGTTTTTCTCTCTAATCTCCCTGATTTCAAAAGAGAAAATTGTTTGCCAACATAATTCCATAAAACATCGGAGTGCTCAACTTGTGTTCTAGTTCGCCGGGCTTTGGGTTGGAGTGCTCGAACGCCAAAGTCGTAGTCCGTTTTATCCTGGGAGACTGACGCCACAACGATCCTAGCACCCTCGGGAGGTGGCGAATCAGTTTTAAGGAGAGTGTGTGTACACACGACTCGGGCTTCCTCTGCTTCTTCTTGTTTCTTCGCGTTGGGTTAAAACCTCAGGTTAGAAACCCGTCTCTTGTTTATTTTTGTTCTTGGTTTCGGACCAAGTGGTGGATTGATCTTGGAAAGATTCAATCCTTGTACTAGTTTCGTACTAGTTGTAGTGGGATTATTTGATAAAATAAATCCCCAGTTGGTTAATATATATATGCTGTATATATATGTAATTCTGGTTTCGTACCAAAATTGGTTGGAATTAATTTTCTATAAATTAAATTCCATTTTTCGGGACAATTATATATATTATATATATATTCTGTGTATCGATTTATTCACCAATTTCCAACATGTTGACCTTGTGCTTGAATTAATAGTATTTGGGGAAGAGACCAAAGTTCGAACTTTAGCGTCAGCATTTTACCCTTTTGCTGAGTCATTAAGGTATATAATCGTGATTTAGGGGGGTGTTGGTATTCAATCATGACTTTTGTAGAGTTTTAAAGACTTTTAAAATTATGGATTTTAATAAACTTTGATTGACTTTCACCGAGTCGTTCAAAACTTTGGGGTCAATCAAAGGGAGACTAAGATTGGGAGACTTAGGGAGAGTAGGATTGAGAATCATAAGTAGACTCAAATATATAGATAGAATCCTAATACTCCCCCTCAAGCACAGGGTACAGATGTGACATGTAGCTTGTCTCTAAGAAAAGAAAACCTAGGACTTGCTAAAGTTTTGGGAAGCCATTTTTGCGTAGATTTGAAGCTCAACTTGCAGAGAATCTCTGACATATCTGCAACACTATCTTATCCTCTGAAAAGGCTACAACAGGTAGAAGAAATTCAAAAATGAGAACATCTTTTTCCAACGGGCAAATTCTCATTACCAGCTATATAAGGATGAAGATTGAAGCAGTGGAAAGCAGAAGCAAGAATATAGAGCAACGAACAGAGCTAAACAGAGCATACGAAAATCAAAAGAGCTTTCCATCTCAAGAGCTATATTTAAAATATCCAAGTGAGAGAAAAACATTCAGAGTGCTCAGAAGCTTACAAAGAAATATTCAAGAGAGTACTAAATCTTCATCATTGAGAGACTTGGCAAATATTGAAGATCATCTACAAAGTCTCAGAAGTTGGAAGCAAGGCAAACTTGTTTTGAAGCAAAACAAGTAGAAGTTCTACCGGAGCGTAGAAGTCGGAGGAAAGTAGCACGGAGTTATGAAATCCTGGAAAGTAGCACGGAGTTGTGAAATCCGAAGTTGTAGTTCTACCGGAGCGTAGAAAGGGGAAGTAACGCGGAGTCGTGAAATCCTGGAAAGTAACGCGGAGTCATGAAATCCGAAGCAGTAGTGTTGGTGGCACTGGCCGTGATTAGTGTGAGCTTGGTGATCAACTAGATCACGAAATTCATTGTATCTAGGAACCAAGTAGTGGTGGATATAGTAAATTGCTATTGGAGGATAAGAGCAAGTGGAGTAGGAGGATTACACCACCTCCGGACCACTATAATTGCCTTGTGTTCTTTACCGCTTTCTTTACTTACTGCTCTTGCTTGCTTCTCACGAGGATAAACTTGACACAAATACACACATATCGTATCTCTTATTATTTCCATTGTGCACAAGACTCTAACAATCTAGTTAAGAGTTTTGGTTTCTCTGTTGCCTTAGCAATTGTTGTATTTGCGAAACGGTTTAAAAGTCTATTCACCCCCCCCCCCCCCCTCTAGACTTTTACCTTACCTCTTTTGGGACCAACATGATGTATAATCTTGTGTTTATGCATGTTTAGAGCTTGTATCTACGGTTCATAAATGCTATTCTTTGAGCTTTTCATGTGTTCAAGTTCCTTTATTGTTGAATGTGAGATTTTGGGTGTTTTGGACTTGAACTTGGCATTGTTGATGTTTTCCCCCGAAAGGGAATTGTTTTTGGGATCAGGGGAATCTGCGGGCGGAACAGCGGGCAGGCAGCCTACCGCCATTCCACCCGCGGGGAACGTTGGTGGTGCCGGCTGGGAGAGCCGTGGGTGGTTGCCCACCCGTGGTTCCATCCGCTGATACAGTGTAAGGGGGTGGCAGGTGGTTGTCCACCCACCATTCCGCCCACTAGTACGTGATGCTTAGGCCTCCGTTTTGTTGAATCCATGTGCAATTGTGTATTTCCTTTGATGTTTCGTACGTCTAGAACGGTGTCCTAAGTATCCGTGATAGGTTTATGAGTCTTGAATCTCGTTTAAGATCCAACCTAGTAATTCGTTGGATTAATGTGAAGTCATTGATGTTGGTTTGAACCGTTGTGTTCATTTTATTGATTTGCATGCTAGTTATGATGTTGTTGATACTAGTACGTGTTTGTTCATTCGTTCTCAATGAAGATTGATAACTTGTGTTCACCAATCGTTGTAATCTTTGGTTGAAAGTCTACCGTTATTGTATCATTGTATTGATTGTTCCTTTCATGTCTCTCCTTGAAGTCTTTCGACTGAATCTCTTGTTGTAATCTTGTACATATGTTGTACCCTATTTGTTGATTCCTTGATTGAGGCTATTGATGAGTCTCAATCATCTATGATGATGACTGTGTGAAAAGATTGAGATTGGCGGTAAAAGATGATAAGAGATAGACTATCACGTGATTAGTACTATTTTATTTAATGACATTGCGATGTCTATGAAAAACTGGCGGCAAGCAGGCAGGGAGCAATGGCTCCAGGAGGAATAAGGTTGGACTTGGTGTACCGGGTGGCACTTGAATGTACAGGTTGGAACTGAAATAAGGTTGAACTAGGTGATACAAGGTTGGACCGGGCATAAGGTTGGAACTAGTCATTGGTTGCGATCTTTGACTTTCATTTGCTTATGAGCATGTTTGATGTTAAATTATGAATGTTATTGATTATCGTATCTTGTTAATGATTCCGTTGTCCTTGTCATTTGTATCAATCTTTTGAGTAACCGTATGATGTTTGGTCCGTGATTGAGAGTGATTCGGATGAAGTCTTATGATGTTTCCACTCCTTGTTTTCAAAGTTTATATATATATATATATATATATATATATATATATATATATATATATATATATATTCCATGTCTCAAAATGATTTTCCTATATTTATACTATATGGTACTCAACGCGTTGGAGTGGGTTACTTAGCATTATTCGCTAACGGGTGCTACCCCTTAATGTTTTTTTTTTTTCAGGTGCAAAGTAGTTGAGCCTAGAGCGTGGTAGTGGAGCCTGGTAGACTAGCTTCGACTTCTGGTTAATAGTTTTTGTAAGCCTGTGCATTTAGATTGGATATCTAGATGTGGCATAGCATTCCCCGATTAACTAGTTAGGTTCCGCGACTTTTAATACCTAATGTTTAGTTTAAATCTTTATCCTTAAGCTTTAACTACTTTGTTTATTACTTAAAAATCGGGGGTGTTACAGTAGGAGCATGCATATGTTGACAAAGTTGATTGACTGCAAAGGATAAATCTGGTCTGGTGATAGTAAGATATTGAAGAGCTCCAGCCAGACTTCGATATTGCGTAAGATCATCATATAAATCTGTAAAGTTAGCAAGAGATTTCGAAACAGGTATTGGAGTGGATAGATGTTTGCAATCAGTCATACCAACACGTTTCAAAATATCCAGCATATACCGTTGTTGAGATAAAAGAATTCCATCACTGCATTCAATGGTTTCAATGCCAAGAAAGAAACCTGGTTCACCAAGATCCCTAATCTTGAAAGTAGTAGATAATTTTGACAATAAATAACTCACAATATTCGGATCACTGCCCATCACCAGAAT